AAATACGAGGGAATAGAGTAAGTGTTCAAAGATGGGAGAAGGTTTGCTCAGAGATATTCAAGTGCTGCTTCCTATTTATTGGGACAGACCTGGATGACTGTGCTTTGAACTCCTCTGAACTGGTTTTCTTCTCATATTGTAACAATGGTTGTTTCTAAGGCTGTAATGATGGACCTTTGGGGCTCAATAAGCATCAATGGGTTGATAACAGAGCAACAGAGCAAAAAACCATGCAAGTCCACCCATTCCAACAGAGTCCTGCTTTTGCTGGGTGCTGCAGGGGATGGCCACAGCCAGGCCCTTAACAAGGCTGTAACACAATACATCTAAATACAGCAGCCCCGTGTCACCCTGTACGTCACACTCTGGAGACTCTGCTCTCCTCCCAAAGCCACAGCACCAGGGAGATCACACAGGCTGCTGAACTCCCTCTGCTGCACTCAGGGCCAGCCAGACAACAGGTCTCCCAACAGAAGAGCCTGACAACCTGTGCTGTGTGCAAACCACACCACACACCACAGCAATTCACCCTAAGACCTGCAGTAAAAGCAAAGGCCAGAGCAGCTGGCAAAGCATCACTAACACTCCAGCTTCCACCACCAGAAACACAGAAAAAGGCTGTTCCTAGAAACAGGTGAAAAGTCTCATCAAATCTTCATGTGCTCTCAGCTTGGACACCAAGGTAGAAAAGGGTCCAACAGCAGCTTGCAAGCTGGTCTCCAAATTTCACTCCTTCAAAGGTTAAGAAATCTTCCACCTCAAAGGGAGTCAAAAAGGTATAAACACACCCTGCCCTGCCTGCCAGGGGCTGCAGGGTGATGGAGCAAAGGGCACTGCTGCTCTGGGCAGGAGGCAGGGAACAGAATCTGTTTCCTCTCTGTTGTACCAGGACAGAGTCTTTCCCATCCAGTCAGGGCTTGTCTCCACAAGAGAGGGGAAAACAGACACCTTCTCTACATTTTTTAGACCCCTAATAATCTCACAGCCTTTTGTCAGGCTGCTTACTCTCTTAATTGTCCTGTTTATCAGGTAAAACCTGCTAGGCTTCCACTTCCCTCCACAAAAAGAAACAAGAAGTCCCTGCTACCAAGAATTCCCAAATCCAAGGCTCTTCAGACAAAGGACAGGCTGCCTGGTACAAATTTAAGTTCAGCTACTTTGATGAACTCTCCCAACACCCACGGAAAGTTTTCCACAGATCTCGGGCACGAAGCTGCATCATTTCCAAGGAGGACACATCCTTCTGCTGTAAACCCTGCAGGAACAGCTCAGCAATGCTGACAACTCTGCTCTCAGCACCATCTCAGCCCATCTTGTCTGGGATCTGCAGGGAACAGAAGCTTCTCAAGATCAGGGTAGCCAGTCAGTCATTTATCCACATCCACACACAGCCCCTTCCATACGTGCTGCCTCTGCTTTGTAAGAGTTTCCTTTTCTATGGGCTCTAGAACAGGGGGAACAGGATGGGAACAGCCTTGTCCCAGGAACACCCTTCCCAGTGCAGACCATCACTGCATCCTGACAGGACACCCACCACCAGGGAGGATGCCACCAAGGACAGAAGGCAAGTTAAAAAAGAAGGCTTTGCATGCAAGAGTTAAAAAGCAGACAGATTAGATCTCATCAGTTGAGAATTCCAGGAAAAGTATTGTGTTGCTATGGAAACCTCAACATAACCCAGGTTTTTCATAGAATCATAGAATCATAGAATCTTAGGGGCTGGAAGGGACCTCGAGAGATCATCTAGTCCAACCCCCCTGCCAGAGCAGGGTCACCTAGAGTACATCACACAGGAACTCATCCAGGTGGGTTTTGAATGTCTCCAGTGAGGGAGACTCCACAACCTCCCTGGGCAGTCTGTTCCAGTGCTCTGTCACTCTTACAGTAAAAAAATTTTTTCGGATATTCACCTTGAACCTCCTATGCTCCAATTTACACCCATTACCCCTTGTCCTATCACTGGTCATCACTGAGAAAAGCCTAACTCCATCCCCCTGACACTCACCCCTTACATATTTGTAAACATTGATGAGGTCACCCCTCAGTCTCCTTTTCTCCAAGCTAAAGAGACCCAGCTCCCTCAGCCTTTCCTCATAAGGGAGATGTTCCACTCCCCTAATCATCTTCGTAGCTCTGCGCTGGACTCTCTCGAGCAGTTCCCTGTCCTTTTTGAACTGAGGGGCCCAGAACTGGACACAATACTCCAGATGTGGCCTCACCAATGCAGAATAGAGGGGGAGGAGAACCTCTCTTGACCTACTAACCACACCCTTTCTAATACACCCCAGGATGCCATTGGCCTTCTTGGCCACAAGGGCACATTGCTGGCTCATGGTCATCCTCCTGCTCCGTGGTAACAAAACTGAGCCTACTTGGGCTTCATTCCAGGAGAAATCACTACCTCCCTTCTCCCAGAGTCACCAGTGTGCATCTCTACTGATTGTGTTTTAGGGCTTGTAAAGACCTTGTCTCACTCTAGGCATTGGAGGTGTTGGCTCCTAAATTGCAACAGCTCTAGCTGTAAAGTTCTCAGGTAGAACATGAGAACAGACCCAAGAAGCAACCTAAAACCCCTAGAAACTGGATTCTGTGTTTGCAGCAGGGTCAGACCACCACCTCAAAGCAAGGAACATAACAAGGAACAAGGCAAGATCCTGTGGATTCTTCTGTGTCAGACAGCCCAGGACTCATCACTAACAGCACAAGTACAACATGAGGGTGCCAGAGTGAGAAACTCTACAGAGTGAGCACTGCTACAAACTGGCAAAGAATCTCACCTCACACAGGTGGTGACACTGGGCACACCCTGGAGGCTTTGTTTCCATTTACCTGTCACACTGTCCTTTTAGATTGTCAGCAGTGTAGGGCCAAGCCCAGCAGGGACTCTTACACAACACACAGCAGAGCTGGAGCCAAACATGATTCTGGCAATAAAGAAAGAGGGGAACAAAAAAAAAATAATAATAAAAAATCGATCCAATCCCCATCAAAACATGCACCCACACAAAATGAAAGCTTGAGCTCTACCTTGCAAGACACCAGTGGCATCTTTAAGAACTATCACTGGGTTCTGCCACTCTGGAGTCACTCTGCTGTCATAGAGCAACAGACTGGAGAACAGCACTAGGGCACTCAAACCTTTCTGGGTTGAAGAGACAGAAACATACAGGAGCAGTGCTGATACACACCATTTATTTTCTTGCATCCACTAGCATAAATAAAATCCAGCATGATCAATATTCTGCAAACATTTCCATCAAAATGTTAGCACTAAAAATCCCACAAATTAGCAGGGTCCATTGAATGCCACAGAGGAGAGACCAACTACATGTGAAATGCCATAGTCAAGCTTCATCATGTCACATGAAGTTCTGTCCCAATTTAGAAAGTTTCAAGAAACAAACCATTCCCTTTATGCTTTGGAAAACAAGGCATTTTGCAGGCAAAGATAATCTGGATATTCAGCTCCTAAGTTTTCCTTGGTTTTACTCCCAGGTATCTCTAGCCATTTGTTTTACCCTGTCTTTATCTGGACTGTAAGTTCTGGAGACTCAGCACCAGTTAGAAGGTAGGTGACTTTAGTGCCTGAGCAAGCTTTACTGAAGGTAAAAGTACTTCAAAGCTGAGACCCACTACTGTACAATGCAACATGATTTAATGGGTACTGGCAACCTCCACCCTTCATATCCCCCAGTCAGAAAACAGCACCGCCAAGAACACAGAGGCTTTTTGTAGTTGTTAGGAGAGTCTTCACACTGGTCACCAGTTGTCTGAAATCTTTCTATTAAAAAACAAAATAATAAAGTTTTAACATCAAGCTGCAAAGCTGTTATTCCGGGGCTGCAGATTCAGCAAGTTTCCTTTGGCTTCCTCGAACGTGGATTCACCACCAGTGCCTGTGCCAACAGCCCCACCAAGCGACCAAGCACACCTACAGCTCCTCCGCCCTCTCCTACAACCACGGCACAAGCACCCAGCCAAGAACAGCTGTAAAACCGCAAAGCTTGCTCACCTAACCCAGCCCTACTCGCTTTACCCAAAGCCTACCAGAAAAAGAGCTTCTGAGACAAAGTTCTACAGATCTTCTTTCCGGCAAGACTTTTGAGTGAAGATAAAACACGGGAGTGCAAAAAAGGCTTCCTTCCTTTACAAGGAAGGACAGACAAGCTGGGGAAGAGGCCTGACACAGCCTCCGAGTTTTATGCTTGTCAACATACTATGCCAAGTGACTCTAAGTTACCCACCCATTTCCCCATCTTACCCATTACTAATTTTTCTACTTGCAAAGATACTGAAGTTGGTTTAAGTTCTTCAAAATCTTTCCCAAGAGCTGCTGTAACATCCAGGCTGTCAAATGCAATCTCTAACCAGTCTTCATGAGAAACATGCTACTGTTGTAGCTACAGACTGCCCAGTCACTTGAGTTTACTTTGAATATCTACAGCATCACCAAAACAGAAAAAGATAAGCCAAAGTAGTTCATTTTCAGAGAAGTTAAGAGAAAGAACACCTGGTTTCTTGTATCTTGCCAAGCTAGGATACAGGCTAGACTGATATGAGAAGGAAGAATCTCTCAAGAACACACAAGGAAAACACTACTCAAGCTTTGTCTGCCTAAGAATTTCATAGTATCATAAGTCTGTAAAAAACTACAAATTGTGACAGTTTTGCAGATAAAGTTTATTATTAGCAAGTACTGAAAAAGAGCTGAAGTAAAAAAATTGAACAAGACAGAAATACATTATCTATATCCCTATATCAACTATTTTTAAAATTAACACTATTCTTGAAATAATTTATAAAAAAACCCAAACAACTGTGGCCAGCCTAAAGCACTAGATTGCTAAATGTGTTCTGACATGGGTTTAGAGAGAGGTGGCTTTTGCCTGGAGTAATTATCCATCCCATGGAAAGCACAGGCTCTTGAGCTCAGATAGGAGGCTAAACATACTGCAAGTGGAATACAAATGAAGACAGGTCTAAGAACTACTTCCAGGAGCCTAAACTTTAAGCAGTCCCTTCTTCAGTTCAGCAATTTTGTCTTTTCTTGAATCTGCATAACTCTTTGCTGTCTTAATGAGAGAGTCGTGATGCTTCTCCAGCGCAGTCTTCAGATTCAGGTATATTTCCTACAAATAGCAGATAAAAGGGGGGAAAAAGAACCATCAGCAAAGTTGATGTTTATGCTTTATAAGGAGTTAAGTGAAAGTGGTCTGGTGGTCTCAAGTGATTTTAAAAAGTACCTTGTCCTGGGCTTAAACAGCAGCATTCAAGGAACACAGGGAAGTCACAAAACATCAGAGCAGCAGCCACAAGCAAAATCCCAATGTTAGGATTTACACTATTGTGACCACTAGTTACAACAAAGGTGGTCAAACATCAGCACTAGCCCAGTATTCACGCTCCTACTGCCCTCTTGTGTTAACTTGTGTCACCAGTGTCTCTGCCACTGTGACTGCTACCACTGTCCTCCCAGCATAGACAGTACTTCAGTCCAGACAGGATGAGGGTTGTGATCCTCTGCTCCTAACCCATGAGAATTTCTCCCTCTTTCCAAAGCTGATCTGGAACCCTAGGAAGACAGTTTCTGCAACATGGCAGGTGGTCCTGTGTTTGTGGGACAATGTGGAGAGATTACAGTACTGCCCATCACAACACAAATGTAGCCCTCAGGTCCCAGGGCCAAATAAAAAACTTTGGACTGCTTAGAGCTGGAAGTACCATAACATAAAAAATGGACGCCATGGAACTAGCCTAGTATCTGCTACAGGCACAGGTGGGAAGACAAGTTTAATTTCACCTCCCAAAACTCTAAGCAAGCTCACCATTCCAGTCTTCTCGCTCAGGTCTACAAAGCCCACTTTTGTGGGCCATCTACAGCCGGTGGAGATGAGCACAAGTGGAACAACAAGTAGGAAGTTCTCTGCCTCCTATTACCCACCCAAACCACCACCTACCCACTTTTAGGGCAAATAAGTGCTCCTTTACTTACACAGCCCACATGAAAAGTCAGCTTTGAGAACACCAAACAAGATTCCCTTAGGGAAAACCTCACCTTGGCTTTTGTTTCCTCTTTTTCAGCATTCTCATTCAGCTGCTGAAGTTTTAACCTTGTCTGTTGGATTTCCTTGCGGATGGCTGTCACTTTATCATATCCAGCACCCCTCTTCTCCTGAACTTTCTTACAATATCTAAAGGTGGAAGAAAAAAATTAGTACTGAACCATTTAACTAATTGCAGATTGAACTTAGCCCCACCACAAGCCAAGCTTGCATCTTATGAACATGAATCTAGCAGCTTCTAGAAGCAATGCTGTACAGAATTTACTTGGTTGGAAATGTGTCCAGTTTTTAAACTAGAACTTGGATACAAGAAGTGAAATTCAAAGGAGAGTCTAGAGGATTATATTGAAGATTCTCAGTTATTGCCCACCATGGCAACTCAAGCAGCTCCAGTGGAACCAACCCAACAGACAGCTGGACACTGCATCCTCTGCCTTGGAGTAATGCAGTTCAGGAGTCAGGGAGAGCCCTACCTAGAGGCCAGTCACTGGACCAGGTCAAAAGCCAAACAGCTGCACTTGATCTTTCAGAAGAATTGGAAGCCACATGTTTTGCTTATCCTCAGAGCCCCTCCCACCAAGTTAGTGCTCCAAGCAGCATTACTGGTCTTCACACAAAGCTACAGATGTTGTCTGCTACTTCCAGCCCATCATTCACTGCATCTTAAACAAAGTTCAAATAACGTTTGCCCAGCTCACAGGGAAATTCAGGTAACTCCAGCTGTGAGCTGCCATGTAAGCAGCAAAGGATTAGTGTAGGACCAGGAGATCTACTCTGAGACCAGGTGCAAAAAACACCTACCAGTTTATACTAAGCACTTGTACAATAAGTACAGTTGGAACTGTAGCAGCTGCTTTCCCTTAAAGGATAGCTGAAATCACTCAGACTTGCAAGAACCTACTTATATTTTCCTACATCAAGGAAACAGTCAAGACACATTGTCTTATTCACCAACAAAACCTTGTTTTCAAACCAAGGTTACCTCCCTTCCCCCCTGACTTATCAAAGCACCTAATTTTGTCACTCAAAGGAAATATCTAACACTTTAAAACAGATAAAGTGGCAGCAATCTTGAACATAAAGGAGCATTAGATTATGTTATTTTCCTTCTTTATTTGGAAGCAAAAGTAGCTTTTTAATTAATCTCCTTTAGGTGGTACAATACACTAAATGAGGAGCAAAGGAAGCCTGGGAATCTTGCTGCTATTTTACACAGCACACAAGCCCCATCAGCATGACTAAATCTTAGTTGACTCACTCAGCTGTATGGAAAAAGCTCTCTTCCATCATAGTTAATCTACCCAGCCAATAATTTTCCATACTACCTTTCCCATCTGTGTATTAAAAAACATGATATAAATAGAAGCTTTCTCTGTAACAGTTCAGCACTTCCAATCTCACAGAGAAGCCACGACCTTAAAGCAGAAGTGGCTGCTGTGCTGTAAACACTGCCATGCCACTTGCCTTGAGCACATGGCAGGAAGGAAGATGGGCTAAGAGGCTTTGATCAAATGACACTCTTCCTTTTGTTTTAGAAGCATCATGTCAGGATAATACTCTCCTCTGAGATACGAGCCCCATTTCCCCATGGGTCTTGAACATCTTTGATAATGAGCAAAAGTGGCAAGGGAAATTATGAAAAATTCATGAAAGGCAAATGGGGCTTTGTTGAAGTCTGATAAGTTGGAAAATTATCCCAATGTGACATTCTCTTTAAGAAGATAAAAGAATCAAGAATAAGCATTATAAATTAAATTAGTGCTCCAATAAAAGAATTGCTGTCAAGTCACATTGCAATTACTGATTTGAGACCCTAAGTCCCTGCCTGAAGCATTACTGGTCTTCATACAAAGCTTTCCCACATCACTCATTTTCTTCTTACTGCCAAGCTACAGTGTTTGGACCAGACAAACTTTGGTAGCACATTACAAAGACATAAAGTAGCATCAGGCAGAAATGTCAGCTCATCCATACTCAAACACAGTTTGTTTTTGCTGCTCAACATCTTCCCGCTTCTTTTTGATCCTCAGCTCAGCTACAGCCAACTTCTGCTGTTTTGCAGCCACCAGTCTCTTTAAGGTCATTTCATCTGTTTTTGCCTTTTTCAGCTCTATCTGAGCACTCTCAAGCATGTCCTCCAGATTTCTGACCTAGAGGATGTCAGAAGTATTGAAATAAATTGGGGGAACACATCATGGAAACAACACACTTTATTAATATTAGAACTACTTCTTACTTTTTAAAGATCTGATTGCTAAGTAATTCTCCCAGTTAAATGCCAGTTCCCCAGTCCTCATCCCATTTTAAATACATCCCAATGGGCAAGATCCCATCACTTAGAATCGTCCTTCAGGTGTTACTATTGTGACAAAGATTTCATCAAGGAAAGGCTGATTTAACCCTATCAATAAAGTTAAAAGCACTTAGGACATGACTCTTCCTGAAGTAGTAATTTTTTTGCTCTTAAGTTTCTGCTCTCTAGGCAAAAGAAACTGGATCCTACTTTTCTGCTTCCAACATTTCCTACCAACAACCCCAAGACAGTTCAAACTATTTTAGGTCAGGTTTCTATGGCAACAAAGGCTCTGACTATTAGAAGTGGTCAATAGTACATTAGCTAGGGGCATGTAGCAAAGCAGCAGCTGTTTTATGATGCTTTTAAGAATTCCAACTTATTCAAATTCTCTTTTTGAGACAGAGGAGAGATAGGAACTTTCAAAAGACATTTACTTCTGATCACCTATCTTGCTTAGACATCAAGTTCTCCCTAACCTGTTATAATTTGGATAATACAAACCTCTGATAATGCATTGGCCAATCTTTCCACATTTGCTCCCTGTCTTTCCATCCTCTTTTGATAAAACTGCACCTCCTGTTGGCACGATGGCAGAACCTCAACTAGGTCTCTGTAACATTCATATTTCTCAATAATTTCTTGCTTTAAAGAGAAAAAAAAGACTTGTTAATAAAAACAGCTTTGGAGTTAGCAGTTATTTTGCACAGTGTGTTCATGCATATTGGCTTTTATACCCATTCCCTCATTATTTAATGTACACTGGAATTAATTAGGAGTTACTGAAATGAGAGCTTTGGTTTGTAAAAAAAAGCATTTATTTGGAAAACAAAAGAAAAGTGACATGCAAGTGTTTTACACTGAGCTAACTAGCTTGTTATGAAAGCTTTCAGGACATAAAGCTGCATAGCCAAGAAATTCTATAAGGGTAAAACTGGAGTTAAGTATCAAAAAACCAGCAATATATTTTATACCTTTGGAAAAAACGTATCTAGGAAGATAAAGTTATGCAGGTTTCACTGATGTATGAGTGACCATGAACTACAAATATTTAAAGCCTGGTCATGACTGTTAATAAAAAGAACTCCAAAAAAGTGAACAGGGGAACCCAAGTGTTCAGCATACTAGTGGACACAGCCAGCAATTCCAGAAACAGGGAATAACAGAGACACGATGGGGCATGTGTTCTAAATCCAAGGCAAGTTGCCAAAATGTTGTCATTTCTTGAGATCAAATGGCCAGACAGGTAAAGATTCAAAAGTTCTACAACTAATTTCACAACTAAACAGTTACTCTGCAAAGACAAAGCAGCAGTGACTGCAAACCTGCTTTTCCAAAAAAAACCCAAAAACAAAAACCAACAAACAAAAAAAAGCCAGCCCCAAAAAGTCAACACCACAAAACAAAAAACACCCCCACAACCAACCTTCAGTCTTCTCTGCAGTTGTGATGTCATTTCAGACTAACCACTCGCTGTTCTGTTGACTTTTGACTAGAAGTCATTCAAGAAGCAGTTCTAGATGATGACAGCTCAGTAAAACATGCTTTTTCAACACAATACCTCCTTGTGTGGACAGAGGAAAAGCTCACCTTGGATTTCTTGAGTTTCTTAACAGTGTCTTTCATCAGTTCTTTCTGATTTTTCAGTTCATCTGGACTCTCCACAATTTTTGATTTCAGCTGTTCTTGTTCTTCTTTCAAAGCAGCCATTGTCACTCTGAACTCATTCTAGTTAAGACAACAAACACCTTTTCACTAAACAGTTTGGTGATCAAAGATGAACTGTGCAGCATGGTTTGTCAGATCTTAGGACTAGAAAGGTTCTTTCCTGTTCTACATCATTCCTCATTAAGAAGTTGGTTTTAAAAATAAATTAATCTAAACAGCATCAATATTCCCAATGAAAGCAGTTAACAGTCCAGTATGCTCCCTGGACACACGTACAGGGGTGCAGTGCTAAGTTACAAGGACAGCATTCGACTAGTACTCCACAAAAAGCCTGCTAGCTAATATAGGTTACTAGCAGCTCTCTGCCCTTCAGAACCCCTCACCTGGGGCAACCCAGGCAGTCATTGCAGGGTTTCAGAGCTTCAGCCTGAAGAAGAGCAACAAGCTTCCCAGGCAGTCTCTCCAAAACCTCCTGCTTTGTCCCCATCAGCTCAGTGGCTGCCTCGTTAGCCATTCTATTCACCTAAGTCGAGCCCAGAGCTTCTCAGAAGTCCAGATGTCTCAGCCTTTAACAGATCAGCTTCCCAGAAACAGAGCTTTACATTGCAGAGTTGTATATTTGAAGTTGACAACAAAACAGCCTTCTACAGTAAAGCTTCCAGAATGTGGAGGGGGAGGGTAAATGAAGCCATTTTTTAAAATTAGAATAATCCCCACCTGAACATTACCTAGTTTCAAGAGAATTTGATCCTAGAAAGAGATGTTGTATTACTTGATCTGAGATGCAAGATACATGTAGCCTCCACCTATACAGAGGTGCACTTACCAGTCTCCGGGTTCTCTCTGCAATGTATGACTTCTTTTGCAAAATCACTTCTTGCAAAGCTGTCTAAAAAAAAAAGGCAACAAGCTTTAAATAAGCATCTCTACAACCACTAGCTCCGTCACCCTTCTATCACAGATCTAGCTACAACGAAAATCCCATTTCTGGTTTCCAGAGTGCCAAAACTAGCAGAGAAATTTGCAGTCTGTAAGATTTAAAAGACAGGAAAGGACATTGTTACAAAAATCACTGGGAACAGCAGGGAGCACCAGCCAGCAGCAGGTAACTGGGAACAGGGAGTAGAGTCAGACAACCTCTATCTTACTGGCCCAGTTATACACATCACCTTCTTCCCTAGAAAAACCCTTCTTGATAAAAAAACCACTACGTTAACACAGGCTCCTAAAAAATATAGAATTCAAGCACACAGTAAATAATACTAATCGCAGAAACACGTCTTAAAGTCACAACAAAGGAAATCCCACAGATTGATTAATTTTCCTAAACAGCTAAAAAGGTTACCTACAAAACATTGGGGGCAAGTTGCCATTGCTGGAAGTTTACCCCTGCAATCAACCCTACTCTTTTTGCCAGGCATTCCATTGGGTGACCCTTCTTAGGTCTCATCTCCTGCCATGGCTCACCTCCAGCTCCAATTCTTCCAATTCAGGTGGAAAACAAAGCAAAAATTGAACAGGGAAACACAGACATGACAGTTCTGAACAGTAACACAGGTATCCCTCAAGTCTTTGCAGCAAAGCACTTCAACAAGAGAGCACTGAGTACGCTTTTGTATTCCCCAAGTCTGATTTCAAGTGTGCTTAACATTCCTTACAATGAAATGAAGAGTAGACATTGTGCTGCAATGACCTTCATTTTGAATTAGGTAAGTCCCTTTTATGCTTTTTAAAAGTAGGGGTAGAAGAACAGAATCAAAATTAAGGAAAACCCATGATGAGAAGCCACAGCACCATTCCAAAGAATCATAACAAAAATCATACTTGTTTCCTACGATAGTCCTGTCTTAGCAGTTGCTCCAGTTCTCTGATGTCTTCTGTCAGTTGCTTGACCTCTGCTTGATGTTCCACAGGAACAGTACTGAGCAACAAACAGATATTGAACAGTTTCAGCTTCATTATAGCCAGGCCAACTGAGTATCTTAGACAAAACTATTACTCCCTCTGAAGAGCTTACAACCAGCAATCAGGACAAGACAGTCTCAAGTCAGTGTGTCTTATTTTCCTTTGCTTGTAAGATTTTGTAGTTGAAGCGTCATCTAAAGAGTTATTTTGGCAAGAAGTGGTACAACATAGGACTAAGACTAAAGATCATAATAGGCAAAACACAAAATACCACCACCACAAAATAATAAATTTTTCCTAAGATCCAACCCAAACCTCCCCTGGCACAGCTTGAGGCCATTTCCTCTAGTTCTATTGCTCGTTACTAGGGTCACAGGATTTACTCCTCACACTCACTTCAATTTCTCCAGCTTCACTACTGCCTCTCGATTTGCTGTCTCCAGTTGTTGGTGTTTGTCCATAGCTGATTTCTGCAAGTTAAATATTCAGAGAATTATTTTTTTTCATTTTAAAAGAATCCGGTTTCACTCTTGGCTTCTATTAGAGCCCTCCTCATTGTTATTTCAAAGGAAATCCACCACCTCTGAGGTGTTCAGAAGAGAATCCACCTGCAATTCTAGCTTCAGCCCACTGACTGTTACATTTCTCTTCCTCAGAATGCTGTCAAGCTGTCACTTACCAGGCTAAGCTATCAAATAAGTTACTAAAAAAAACCCTCAGTAATAACTTGGTCATAGGCATACAGAAGCCTTTATGATATTGACAAGCTCATCCACTCTTCTAAATTGACGTTTCCTTAAGGGATTTGCAAAGGTGTTTCTTAAACTATTTAGACTAGCCATGTGTGTTTATAACATGTAATATAGTTGTACATAATATTAAACTGACACCTTCCTGTATTACTCAGTTACATTGAAGACTCTGATGTGTTATTTACACAGGCAGTTCAAACCCCACCACCTTTGTGCTCCAGTTCTGGGTTAACATGAATTAACATGAACTAAACTTCAGCAGGTATCTGGAGGAACATGGCCCCCAGCCTTACATAGTTCCTCTGTAACTCCAAGTAGACCTCCCGTCGGCGGTCTCTGAAGTTGACAAAGTTGAGAATGCCACTCAAGAAACGAGCTGTCCTCTTGGTTTCTGAAACAGGAATTGCAAGGCATCACTAGCCTGGTTTCCATGTGGATTGCCATTGCAAGGGACAGAAGGGTAGCTGGAAGGCAGCGACAGTGCTCTGGATTAGATGCCCATCTGGCTATGCCAGATAAGAAGCACTTGGCTGTCAAGTGACCCCAGGAAACGCCAGGATTACAGTGCACTTGCTTACTTGGGTTTAAAACATCAGCAATTTGAAAGTCATTAATCCGGCACACTGGAAGGAAGCGCTCCCTGCAAGGAGAACAGAACAGCCTTATCTGCAGGCACCATCACTCAGCTGTTGTGCTATGTCCCTTTGCTACAAAACATCTTGCCCTCTCACAGCAAGCACGAGACAACAGTAACTCTCAGGACAGCAACACAGTAGGACTCCACACACAGGGCAGCATTAATGTTTTGTGTTCTTATAGCATCTGAGAAAGATTTCTATCAACAACATAACTGCCTGTAGAATAATTTTTAAGCTTCATTAGGGAACTTGTACACTTAACTGTTAGTCAATTCTCCCTTAACAACTGGAATTAATCTTAAAAGTCCAACACTCAGTTCATTCCAATAAATGTATCTACACAGAACTCAGGCATCATGTTTACACAACAGCTACTTAAGAATACTCCTCTAGATGCAATGATGACCCTCTAGCCCTTCAAAGTACAGATTTGCACTCAGCCTTGGTGAGGCAGGATCACTTGGTTAACACATTCATTTTGACAGGATAGGTGTCCAGAGAGAATTTAACTCAATTCAACATTGCTGCCCTCTGCTCACCTGTAAATTTCACTTTGCCCAGAGCCAGCAAGCAGCTGAGCCACCATCAGCAAACAGGCATGAAGCCCCAATACTTCTAGTAAATTGCACCTTCACAAGGAATAGCACCTCAACAGATGCAGCACCTTCTACTTACATGTGAATATACAAATTACAAACAGGTAGGAAGCCTTCATAGATCTGTGGATACGTAATGTCAACATTGACTGGCATCTACAGAGGAAAGAGAATCAAAGTGTAAGTAGAGTATACTTCAACAATACACAGGGTTGCTTCCACAACATAAAATCATCCCAGTAGGTTAAGCACACAGAGGATGCTCTCCTCAATCACAGAGAACAGGTCAGAGGCTGAAGAATTAATCAGCAGACTGTTTTGAGTGTCAAATTCAGCTAGTCAAAATCCAAAAAGACATTAAGAACTCAAGTAGCAACATTACAAACTCTGGAATTCAATCTAAACCCTCTCTTTGACTTTGTTCAAAACTGGTGCATGACAGTCTCTGCAATATACACCTAACAACAGGAAGCTCTTTTCTTAAAGATCCTGAAATTCACACACTCCACTGTTTTATGAAGAAATTAGAAGGAGAAGGAAGGGGTACATTGTCACCCTTCCTGATATTTTAAACCTCACAACACAGTATCCCAGCTAATGTCATCACCTGTAAAGAACTGGCTATTCTCATGCACATATGACCTTCCCTTTCAGTTTATCCAAAAAGAGTACAAGACTATTTATTCTCATTTTCAGGAATCAGTTCTTATCTAACAGAAACAGAAGGTAAATTAAGTGTTAATCAACTAGGTACCAGTTAACCTCCAGCTGCACTGCTCCTTACTTTCCTCTCAGCTAATGGAGAAGTGCAAATGATAAAAACATTAAAAGCAACATATACTTTCTTTCTTGACCAGTCTAACACCTAAGCAGAGAGCATCTAGTTGCCTTTCTGAACAAAAATGCCCATGAAATAGAGCATCTCACACACATTTTCTGCAACTGAGGCAGAATTTCTAGGCTCCCATTCATGCAGTTGCAATATAGAGAAGAGTAAGCTACTTGTCCTTTGCTAGTGAGAAAGTGGGGGAGACACTTCAACATTTCCTTTCTCAAGGGCAATTATTTTCCCCTTCCACCTCTCAGGACAGACCTACCATGTAGAAATGCTCCAGGCGGATCCCATAGACCTTCTGCAGGATCCTCATGAAAATCATGTGTAAAACTTCAAGCTGCAAGAAGAAAGGACATGAATCAGTATTCCACATGGCTGATTATTCAAGGTCCACAGAGAACAATTGCACTGAGACACCAAGATGAACAAGTTTTAACTTCCAGCAGTTTGCAGTTCAAGCATTACTATCTCAGAACACAATTACAAGAGACAACCATCAGCTCAGACAACCACTGCCACAGCTGTGCATTGGCTTTCACTGCATTGCTGCTCATGGAGGAGCTTTAAGAGCAGTGACATCAAAAAAGGGTCACAGACACTATAAATCCACAGCAGAGAGCGCCCTTCATCATGGTATTAAAATAGAGGGGGGAGATACTTATAAGTTGCAGTTATTCCTTTACAATAATAACAACCCACAATCCAAAAGACCCACATCAGAGAGAACATAAGGGACACGCAGAATAAAAGCAGGGCCTAGATAACAGTGAAACAGTAGGAATCAGACATTCTAAAATACTCCAATTAAGAGAAAACCACACCCCAAGTAGTCAACAGCCCAGCAGGACAGATGAAAGGGGTGGAAAGGAGCACAGCCCACAGCTTATGTTGGTTACACCCTTGAGCACTGGGGAAAAGCACAAAAAGTAACTGAAATCACTATATTGCTATATTAACGAGCCATTAGCATGCTAAAACCCACCCGAACAGCCTGCGGGGACCCCTGCTACCAACAGGCCCTTCACACTCAGGCACAGTGACACTTTTGAGCATTGCCACTCCAAAGAGAAGCAAGGCACGAGCGAGCCGCTGTGCGTGCCAGAATAACGACTTCTTCCTCACGTTTCTGGGGAATAAAAGCAGCACTTTGCGTTCTGGGGATCCTGGTCTCGCTTGGCGGAACCCCCAACCCTGCTCCCTTCTCTGCACAGACCCGGGCAGGGAAGCAAATCTCCAGGCTCTGGGCTCGGGCCGGCTCCTTGCCCAGCGGGTGAGGAACGAGACAGCAGCTCCCCAGGCCGCAAACCACCCCAGAAACC